GCCCATCCCGAGCCCATCCCGGGATCCATCCCGAGCCCATCCCGAGCCCATCCCAGGATCCCTCCCGAGCCCATCCCGGGCCCATCCCGGGATCCCTCCCGAGCCCATCCCGGGATCCCTCCCGAGCCCATCCCGAGCCCATCCCGAGCCCATCCCGGGCCCATCCCGAGCCCATCCCGAGCCCATCCCGAAGCCCATCCCGAGCCCATCCCGAGCCCATCCCGGGATCCCTCCCGAGCCCATCCCGGGATCCTTCCCGAGCCCATCCCGGGATCCCTCCCGAGCCCATCCCGGGATCCTTCCCGAGCCCATCCCGGGATCCCTCCCGAGCCCATCCCGAGCCCATCCCGAGCCCATCCCGGGCCCATCCCGAGCTCCCGAGCCCATCCCGAGCCCATCCCGAGCCCATCCCGGGATCCCTCCCGAGCCCATCCCGGGATCCCTCCCGAGCCCATCCCGGGATCCCTCCCGAGCCCATCCCGGGATCCCTCCCGAGCCCATCCCGGGGCCCATCCTGAGCCCATCCCGGGATCCCTCCCGAGCCCATCCCAAGCCCATCCCGGGATCCCTCCCGAGCCCATCCCGGGATCCTTCCCGAGCCCATCCCGGGATCCCTCCCGAGCCCATCCCGCTTTTTCCCGGTTTTCCCAAGGCCGCGGGGATTCCCCCCTGGAGCAGGAATTCCACTCGGCCGTGGGGGGAGGGGCGGCCCGGAGCCCCATCCCGAGCCCATCCCGCTTTTTCCCGGTTTTCCCAAGGCCGCGGGGATTCCCCCCTGGAGCAGGAATTCCACTCGGCCGTGGGGGGAGGGGCGGCCCGGAGCCCCCCCAGCCCCCGCTCGTCCCCACGCTCCCCTGGTGAGTAGAACAGGACCCCCAAAATGTCCCCAAAATATCCCCAGAATATTCCCTGAATATTCCCAGAATATCCCCCAAATCTTCCCAAACCATCCCCCAAAACATCCTCGGAACATCCCCTAAATATTCCCAAATTTTCCCAAAATACCCCCAAAATAGCCCCAGAATATCCCCTAAATATTCCCAAAGTATCCCCCAATTATACCTAGAATATTCCCAAAATATTCCAAAAATATCTCCTAAATAGTCCCAGAATATTCCCAAAATATCCCCAAAATATTCCCAAAGTATCCCCCAAATATACCCAGAATATTCCCTAAATATTCCCAAAATATCTCCAGGATATCCCCCAAATATCCCCTAAATATTTCCAGAATATTCCCAAAATATCCCCAAAATATTCCTATTCCCAAAGTATCCCCCAATTATACCTAGAATATTCCCCAAATATTTCCAAAATATTCCAAAAATATCCCCTAAGTAGTCCCAAAATATCCCCAAAATATTCCCAAAGTATCCCCCAAATATACCCAGAATATTCCCTAAATATTCCCAAAATATCTCCAGGATATCCCCCAAATATCCCCTAAATATTTCCAGAATATTCCCAAAGTATCCCCCAAATATTCCCAGAATATTCCCAGAATTCCAGGCAGGAATTGCAGCTCCCTCTCCTCGGGGTTTTGTTTGCCAAGGGAAAAGGAGGAAAGGAGAAATCTGGGATTGGGATCAATCCCAAAATTTGGGTGGGATCAATCCCAAAATTTGGGGTTGGGGTGGGATCAATCCCAAATTCTGGGGTTGGGATCCATCCCAAAATCTGGGTGGGATCAATCCCAAAATTTGGGGTTGGGATCAATCCCAGACTGGGATTGGTGTGGGATAAATCCCAAATTTTGGGGATTCCATCCCAAATTCTGGGTGGGATCAATCCCAAATTTTGGGATTTCAATCCCAGACTGGGATTGGTGTGGGATAAATCCCAGATTTTGGGATTTCAATCCCAAATTCTGGGTGGGATCAATCCCAAATTCTGGGATTTCAATCCCAGACTGGGATTGGTGTGGGATCAATCCCAAATTTTGGGATTTCAATCCCAAATTCTGGGCTTGGGAATGGCATCAATCCGAATTCTGGCATTCTGGGAGCAGAATCCCCTGGAATTCCCTGGGAATTTGCTCCCATCCCTCCTTTCCCCCCCCCCATTTTTCCTGGACAACCCCTGGAATCTCTGGAATCTCCACATTCCAAAGGGTGAGGCCCCGGGAATCCTCTGGAATGTTGAAAACTCCTGGAATTCCCCCCAATCCCTCCTTTTTAAAAATCCCATTTTTGTCCCAAAAAACCCCCTGGGAGCTCTGGAATTTCGGCATTCCAAAGGTGACACCTCTGGGATTCCCATGGAACGTGGGAAAACCCCTGGAGTTCTCTGGGAATTCTCTGGGAATTCTCTCCCACCTCTCTTTATTTCCCTTTTTTTTCTGTCCTGGAGGAGCCCCCGGAGCTCTGGAATGTGGAACAATCCCTCTGGAATGTGACCCCTCCCGAATTCCCGGGAATTCCGAGATTCCTGGGGGGGGGAATGAGGGGAGAGGGGGGGGAAAAATTCCCAAAAAAATGTGGGAATGATGCTGGGAGGGGCAGGGAGCTGCTCCTGCTGGAATTACCCTGGAATTGTCCTGGAATTGTCCAGGAAGGGCTGGAATTGTCCCTGGAATTTCCCTGGAATTTCCTGGAATTGTCCCTGGAATTTCCCTGGAATTTCCCAGGGGCAGCAGGGGAGGGGGAGGATCCCAGACAGAATTCCAGGGAAAAGCTGTGGGGGAGGAGTCACAGCCCTGGCTCCCAAATCCTCTCCCCGATTCCCAAATTCCTCCCCAAAATCCCTTCCCTGATTCCCTTTCCCAAATCCCTCTCCCCACCCCATTTTTCCCATTTTGCCTCTCCTGACCCCATTTTTTTCTGGGAATTCCATCCCATTTTTCCCTCTCCCCATGCCATTTCCTGTTCCCCCTCTCCTGACCCCTTTTTTTTGGGAATTCCACCCCATTCCCCCTCTCCTGACCTCGTTTCTCTGGGAATTCCACCCCATTTTTCCTCTCCTGACCCCATTTTTTGGGAATTCCATCCCATTTTTCCCATTCCCCATCCCATTTCCCCCCATGTTTCCCTCTCCTGACCCCATTTCTCCAGGAATTCCATCCCATTTTCCCCTCTCCCATCCAATTTTTCCCCATTTTTCCCTCTCCCCACCCCATTCCCCCCCTCCCAACCCTGGTTTTTTTGGGAATTCCACCCCATTTTCCCCCATTTCCCCCCTCCCAACCACGTTTTTTTGGGAATTCCACCCCATTCCCTCTTTCCCAACCCCATTTCTCCAGGAATCCCACCCCATTCCCCCGTCCTGAGCCCTTTTTTTTGGGAATCCCACCCCATTTTCCCCCCATCCCCCCTCTCCTAATCCCGTTTTTTGAGAATTCCACCCCATTCCCCCCTCTTGGCCCCATTTCTCCAGGAATCCCACCCCATTTTCCCCCTC